CATATATACACATGAGACGTGAGATAACGATTTTCATGAATCTGGCTGTTTTAGTATATAGTTTCTTCTCGTCATAATATTAATAATGTTAATTTTATAAACTACATACATAAAAATGATAAATCAATGGCCGAGAAATAGGTATTATATTGCGAAAAGGTTTCGCGAAATTAATTCTTAATATAAAAATTAAATTCGATATGCAGTGTCTAATACGACGATTTATTAAAATATATCTGTACTGTCTGCCAATAAATATTTACAAACAAACTTTAATAATGTCTAGACGAGTTTTATGATGGAATACCTACGACCAAATTAAATTTTGTAGACGTTAATTTACTTCATCACTTTCAGAACAAATTGCTATCGGTTTCATTTGATTTATATGTATTCTCGATTACTTTGATTACGCGAATGAACTCTAATTATAAGAAACTCTAATATTTGATAATATTAACGTGCAACTATCAAAAACTTGACGTTTATGAATAATCGAAATAAAGCCTTATTGAGAGATATGTACATCAATATTTTCTTGAAACCATCATTTGATAATTATTGTTGAATTGCTGATAATTTTTCACTTATATAATAATACAATACGGAAAAATGCAAATTATGGGGTACATGTTTTTTTCGATTGAGAAAATTTTATAATTTCTCATTTTGGCTATGACACAATCCTCTGAATTAAAATGTTAATTCTTTTTTTTAATAATTTAGATAGTATTTCTTCGACAACCAGTTGACAGTGGTTTTTGGTGTACGCGTCTTCTTAATTGCAATTAGTTTAGTAGTAACGGGTAGTTAACCACCGATCCCCGAACTACGAGAATCCGCTTTTAGGGTTCCGTACCCAAAGGGTGAAAAATGGGACTATATTATATCATGAACCGCGACAGCGAGACAGCTAAGATGTTCACAAATTATGTATTTTTGTTGCCACTGTAACAGATAATAAAAACCAAAAATAAATTAAGAGGTCTCCTGTATAACAAACGCTCAACGGATTTAGATAATTAAGGTATCGTTAGATTTGTCTAAATAACCCAAGTGTCGTAGACAGGTAACGTAAAAAAATCAAAAATGGCAGCTGTGCGACGCCATTTTGATTAATGATAATTCTTTTTTTTTATTATTTGTGTCTTTTTAGTTGGACAAATTACCTGGTTAGTTCAGAAAGTGAAAGAACAAAGTCCATACTCTTAAGCTACTAAGACAAATCTAACAAAATCGAAGTAACAAAGAATATTACATACATACATGCAAGATACGCGCGAAATACTTAACCCTTCTTGCAGTTGGGTAAAAAAGTGCTTGCTTGGACGATTAATTTCCAAAATTATTATAAAAGCAAAATATATTAGATACGATGATTTTTAAACATTACTTATTCACTAAATATAAAGTTTGTTATTCACTTTGTTGTACATATAATCACGACAGAATATACTCAACTCGAACTAGAGTAATCAACTTACTACTTAAAAACATGGATAATTAAATAACATCTATACAGACTATTTAGTAATTAAGTTCATGAATTATAAAGATCCGCTACAAGCAAAAGCTAAATTCACACCTTTATATTTTATAGAGATGGTAACAAATAAAAGAATTATCCTTAAACACATCAAAGTGCCAATTTCAAATTCATGAAGATTAGAATCGTTTCCAATAACGTCTTAGTATGACATATCCACGGCTCGAGTGCGTCAATTATTCATACATCCGGGCCGATAATGGAACAATCCTGTCGCAGCCGCGGAGGGGCGCTGTCAACGTAAAGCGTAATGGCGCACTCTCGCAAAAACCTATGCTAGTTAATGTGCCAGGGAGATGACAACGACAATTAATGTGCATCCACGTTTACATTAATGCTATTAATACGGTAAACCCTTTCAGATTTTTTCTCACGTGTATTTCTAGCATGAGCTATCCAGAGACGGATTTGCAAGCTTGCCTAGTAGCTGCCCCTTTTTTGCTCTCATAAGTAAAGCACTGCATATGAATTTACTTTACAACGTTCATTGAAATGGGTTTAAAAATGTATTTATGTTTATGGTGTGCTGAAATAATGTAATTTCTTATTGCTAACATCTGTTGTATGTCAGCGTAGTACAGACGTGCGAACTCTGCCCATGAATAATAACAGTCGTTATACTATGAAAATATTTCACAGTACATTAAATAACTGCTGTTTTATATCCATTCTTGGCTTGAATAAAATACTAAATTTATTTTAAAAATGCTAAAATTTAATTTTTAATAACATATATTCAAATTATTATTTTAACTTAGTGAAATTTTGGAAAACAAATTATAAGAGGTAAACAAAACGCGACACATTTATACTTTTTTTAATTTATTGTCGCTCTAGCTATTTTGTCTTTTGGCTTAAGTAAATCGATGTTTCTTTTTTCATGTAGAATAGAAAAAAGAATAGAATAGAAAGTAATTGAAATATCTGTTGAGAAAAGTGAGGCACTCGCTGCTGCTTTCACAATAATGAATTTGTCCCTTTGACATGTAAGAAATATCGCTTCTTTTGTTTTGTTTTCATTACTCATTCTTTCTTTGGTTTATCTGTCAAAACTCTGCTTATCATTCACTCAAATTTATTCCGCGTCATTAAAATGTTACGATGTCGCATCCTATGGTAGAATCTGGCTAGAAACTTAGGCGGTCGCATTCCAGGCCTACTGTGGCCTTAGCGTAAATACGCCACTGAGTCTACCCTGTCATCGTAGAGCAAACCCTATTAGGATAAAAATAACGGGAATTGATAACGGCTTCGCGTGTTCATTTTTAGTCCGAGGTATGATTAAGAAAAATATCCCCTCATCTGTATGTTCGTGAGAGGGTTTATGTGTTATAATATATTGGTTTTGTAGAGTCAATGAATTCGAAGCTGTTATAAAGCAGAATAGAACAACTGATTAGTAAAAGAACTACTAGATATTTCAATATCGATAGAAGAATAATATGTATTTGCGTTCAAATTCTGTCAAAGTTATATATCGAAATATCACAAAGTGTATGCAGTTTTAACTCCTATAATGACAGGACTATAACTACAAAGTCTAAGCAAAATAATTAAACAATTAAACCATTTTTTTCGATATAAATTTTTTAACACTGTGGTTGTATATATGAATAAAAATCTAAAAAAGATAAGCGTATATAAATATAAATCAGTGTTCTTAATGGAAAATGCTTATAAAATCCACTAAGTCCTGGGCACTCTGAGATGGGTTTTCATAGAGAATATTGTTCAGTATAAAATTGTGAATTTAAAATTTATTAAATATAAAAATAAGACTAAATCAGGTTCATAATCCAACTACACATTTTTCGCTTAATGCAAATATTTGCTCTTAATAGCTGAAAAATGCACATCAATCCTAAAAATTTTAAGCGTTTTCAACATTTAATATGTTAATTGTACTAAACATTTCAATATATTATATATTTATAAAAAAGTTGCACTCCAAGATAAATAAAAGAAAATTACCATAATATTTTCACAAATTGACAAACTTCAAGACTGTTAATTTTATTGCTCACGCGATTCCATGATTAGTTGTATATCGTTGCTTTTGAATACTATACTTCGTATATTTTAAGACTTTAAAAAGTTTCTTTAACATTTAAAAATTAAAAAGAACAACTGTATAAAAATGGAACCTGTTTGCTAATGAGAAAGTATTAAAAAAACGAAAGTACTAAAATGCACCTCCACTAGATGACGACTCTAGCAAAAGTTGATTTTTGCAGGAAACGAATGGACCAAAGATAGTCATTTCCGTTCCTTTTAACTAACATATTAAAAAACTGAAATTTGAATAGTTCGAAACTTAGATATCAATACAAATACGAAAAAGTACAAATAGAATATGAGTTGTTTATTGAGTTTTGAAATCTAATTTACTTTTAAACTTGAAAGAGTGAGCGATGTTTATAATTAACGAGAATTATAATAAAAACTTACCTAAACCACTCGAAATATTACAGATATTTCTTTTGACATTTCTCGATAGCTTTCAAAGATCGAAAATATGGAATAATATTCCACCTCCTTTGAGGCTACTAAATTCCACTGCGAATTTCAAAAAACATTTAAGAAGATTCCTTATAACTGCTCAGGTCGACATGGAACCTTATAATGGCGATCATTCATATATGTAGCTTGCACACTGTGTTGTGATCGGAAGTATATTAGTCTAGTCAAATGTATTTATATACCTATATTTTGAACAATATTTAATGTATTGTAATATTTATATTAATATTTAGTAATTGATAAGTTGATAAAGTGAATAATGATTAATGTAATAATAAAATTAATAATAAAATATTGATTAATAATAGTTAAAAGTATAATGGTAGATGTGATAATTGTTGTTTATGATTGTTTGTATGTAGTTTTTTTTGTACTGTTTTTTTTATTAATTTTGTTGTGATCTCGAAGAAGTTGGCGTCTACCTGCCAAGAAAACGGCTAGGAGCCAATTGAAAATCAGCGTCGGGTTCGATAAGGACCTGATAATTGCTGAATTGGCTACCTTTTTTGTTGCAGCTGTGAGACACAAAAATCAATCCAGCCCTATGTATCATTTCTTCTTTTCAAATTAATTGTATCATTTAAAAACCTTTTGTCAATTTTATGTATGTTTGTAGTTTGTCTCATGTCTGTAACTAAATAAATCTATATATCTCTCTCTCTCTCATATTTGCGTCTAATGTTTGCCTTAGATAATACCAAATAACGTTAAATTATCGATATCTATGTCGTTGATTTCTTACAAACATCTTATAAACAGGTCACGATCACAAGCGCTAGCGCATGTCATAAAGTTGTAAAGCGTAAAGTTCGTTAATGCCTTTCGAATCTCAAATCGGATTGCGATTGATTTTTAAATTAAACAATTAGGCCCCTGTTATTTGTTATTACGTGAAAACGTAACTGTTATATTGAAAATTCGGTTTCTATTGCAGGTCGAAAGTTAACAAGAGATTTGCCGACCGGGCAAAATGTAGTGTCTGTAGCGCCTATAGAAGTTCCTGACGGTAAGTGCTTTATGTCAAGTGCCTTTCGATCCGTAATCCGAGGTCAGGGTGACTACTGCATGCTATATTCGAAACGGATTTCATCTCAACCTTTTAGAATGGAAGACACTTTAGAATAATGAATGAATATATTAAATAAACACGGGACATCAAAAAGGTACCTACATTATTCAGATTCCAAGTTGAGTAAGCCCTTATGGTATCGTTATCTGACATGACGAAGCAAAGACAATAAATATAGTTAAAAAAAAACCTTTTCCTACATAGACCCGATTCCCAACCGGGAATAGAACTTGAAACCTCAGAGATGGCTACCTTCATTTGGCTTCCATTTAACAACGGATATATTCATCTTGTATACGCACCAAATGTTAAATTGATCGGATATTAATAATTATAATAATCTTTTTTGCACTACTTAAACAGGGACCATTAAAAAGAAACTATTGATAACATTACACATATGGCGGCCTTATTGTTTAGCAGCTATTTCTTCTAGGCAACCGATGGTAGTTAGGAAAAATATTTAAATAAAAATAAGAGAGGGGGAGTGGGTACAATAATGATAGGATTATTAAACAGATAAAAGAGAAAAAAATATAAATTATAATAAATTATTAACAGTTCTATAATTAATTAGAAAAGCGTAAAAAATCATATTATATTAACCAAAATATTTATAGTAAATATTTATTGCACGAGGTAGAATAGAATACGAATATTACCAAAATCTACCTTGGTTAAAAGTATTTTTTTAATTGACTATGAATCAAAGTTTAACAAGTAATAATCACTCTACAAACGATTTACCGTTACGTTTTCAAAGATATTAATGATAAAACTGTGACCCAAGAAATGGTGGCAGAGCTGGCCCAAGGCCCAAGCAGATAATGTTTTATCTATTATCCTACAAGTACAAATAACGTTCAAAGAGTAACAAACATGAGTCGTGACGATGTTGTGATATATTTTATTAATTGACTAGCCTTCCGCAAGCGGCTTCTCCTGCGTTATCTAGTTTTAAGTCTAGAAATGAGAAAATTTCATAAAAACTTTCATCCCCTATTTTCCACCTTAGGGGTCGAAGATCGTAAAATCCCATCTTAGTGAGCACCTACGTCCTAAAAAGAAACCGCATGCAAAATTTCAAACACCTAGCACCTGTAGTTTCTGAGATTTCGTGATGAGCGAGTGAGTGAGTAACCTTTTGCTTTTATATAGTAAATTTGTGTGATGAACAGAGGTCGGAATTAGGTAGAGTTATTTATGTACTTGCATCGAAATGTTGATATTAATGTGGACCTTCCCGGGATTTCTAATGGACAATCCCGTGTGGCCAACAATCTTACAACTAAATAATAATAACAACGTCAGAGATAGACAAATAAAACAAAGATAATTAACATAAAATTTTTATTAGTTTACATTAATTTACAATACAAATTTACAATTTGAGGCATATCCACTTTATTCTTTCGCTGTATGAAATCAGTGTAAGTACATGAATAACTCTACCTAATTCCGACCACTGGTGATGAGTGAGTTTTCATTTTTTGTGCGGCTTTTCTTAAGTTTTCGGCAGCTATTTCACTAAACTTAATCTAGTAATATATGTAAGTATATCACTAAACTTGGACCGCTTTATAACTATATTCCTAGTGAGATAGTAATGAATCGCTTCCGTATAACTATGTTACGGTATATAATTATATCCCTAGGGATATAACTATATTACGGCTTTATCTATCTTACTGCGACATATGTATATATATAGAACTTTATATGTTATTGATAAGGTTTGTTTTACTTTAAGTATACTTTTGATAAACTTAAAATCACTCTTATGGGTAGATGTTACCTGTAATAAGTAGATATTAACAACATAAAACAAAATAGTATTAGTCAACCCAACAATCGGCAGCTACACGATATCCAATTCCATGTTACGGCAACTTATAATTGCACTGAGTCAGTTTGTGCTATTTCGATTTCATCCCAGTGAAATGTGCATTCAGTTAAAAGTAGGTACCGCTGCAATTCACCTGAGGCGAAGGATTTTAGAACGAATTACCGATATCCTTATCAAAAACTAAATACAACGTGACTTTTGATATTCAATGAATTTATCTCTCGTGATTTATTTTTTTTCTAATGAAGCCGAAATTCAAAACTAAAATAAAAAGAAAATATGAAGACCAACATAGCACCTACAATGTATTTTGTTCTTTTAGTTATTAAAATATGGCCAGTAGCGATAATTAGTCTAGAAAAATCTTATAAATTGCATTTATAAAGCCACTTATTAAATTAAATATCATTTATTGAATCTAGGCTGTTGTTACAAGCACTTTCAAGTCGAAGGCTATGCCATAGTTTCGCAAATCTACAGTGGGAGACCTTGTACTAATAAAAGCCTGCAATAAACTCAGCAAGGATTTGTTATTCTGTTTTATTTCATAGATAGTATAATTAAAAATGACTTAATTAGAAAACTAGCTTTTGCCCGCGACTTCGTCCGCATGGTAAAGTTACTTTGAGCAGCATTTCTAACGAATTTATTAATTATATCGTGTAAAATACCTGAAATAAAGTTCCATTAATTCCCTTAGGGGTAAAATTCATCAAAATCCTTTCTTAGGGGATGCCTACGTCATAATAGCTTTATGCATGCAGTCTAAGCCAGCAGATCGGTTTAAAATTGACAAAGTTTCATACAAACTTTCATCCCCTATTTTATCCCCTTGGGGGCAGAATTGATCAAAGTCCTTTCTTAGCGGCTGCCTACGTCCTAACATCTACCTGCATGCCAAATTTGAACCCGATCCATCCAATAGTTTGGGCTGTGCGTTGATAGATCACTTTGTCAGTCAGTCACTTTTGAGTAGTAACTTTTCATTGTAACATTCAAACTTACAAAAAGAGTAGAGAACGTTTATAGTTACGACTAATTTATGTTTATGTTGTCCTTCAGGTAAATTTTTGAAGAATATTAAATACGTACATTGAGTTGAAATGTTGCATGACGTCACGCTTTTATGCATTTCTACAAAACCATGACGTAGCGAACCCCCACTCCTCGACTTTACTCTTCAAGTTTAAATTTAAGTAAACAATTACGTATCTAATATTTTTCTATTATCGGACAGACGGACTTAAAAGAATTACTTTTTTATTACCCATTCGTCATCTCTATTCATTCATACATATTATAATACATATTCACTTTTCCGCAGTCTATACGTTGAGATCTTTTAAACTACAAAGAAGATTTTAATGCGGTTTCCATCAAAATACATGATGATTCAAGAAGAAGGTTTCGAAAGCTAGATGATAAAATAAAATAGTACACAGAAGAAAAAATTCAGTGTGTAGATTTACGAAATAAATAAGATCTTACTGGATAACATTCTCCAAATACGGTCTCCGAGAGACAAATAAATCTATGTAATACTATTTTATTTTCTCCATGGCGCCGTGCCGAACTAGACGACTAACTATTTGAAAACTTTGCGTTTTCATGCATTGAAATGGTAGCACTAAAAGACATTTGGACAGTGTTTGTGTGTAAATTCAATGATCATATTTACAAGACAAACACAAAAAAAAAAGTTTTTTATTTTCATGAAAAACCTGACTGAGTTAGTTTGATTTGCAACAACGCAATTTATATTTTATGAACTAAATTTTTTTTTTTTAACTCTTGTTTATAATGGTTATTCGACAATCTTTTTCAACAGCACTGATTTGAGCGATGTAATATATTTAAAGTCATAGGCTCTATAGTGTAACGTCCGTCGTCATGTTTCGATTTTCAAATGACGCAACGATTGACATGGTAGCTAGCTGCCATATGAGATAGCAGTGATACTTGTCTTTTGGATGTGTCGCTGTTGCCGGAGTTATTTCCATGAGCTCTTAGAATTTCCAAAGCCTTTTCCCAAGCTCAAGTTTAGATAGAAGTGCGATCTAATTAGTAGTATTTTTAGGAAACAGTATTTCATCATCATCATCGGCCCTTTATTTCGTCCCCACTGTAGGAGCTCAGGCTTTCCTTATGGATGGTTAAAGAGCATGGGCCATAACCCTCCATGCTGGCCCAATGCGGATTGGCGGGTATTAACGACTACAAATGTAGCCGGGACCAACGGCTTAACGTGCCTTCCGAAGCACGGAGTAGTTTGAGTTAATAATTTTTTGGTAACCCATCCCGTAACCGACCCTTGTGAAAGTTGCTCAACAACAACGATCACGTGCCGTGGCGCTTATCCACTACGCCACCAAGCTATTCAACAATATTTAAACAAATCGAATGAAACATATTTTCAACGTTTAGAAGTAAACATTAAAAGTGATTTAAAAAAATGACTTAAATAAAATAAATATGCTCTAGGTTAATTTTTATCCGATCCTCTTAAAAATATGTATTTGAAATATTATTTATGTTTTATTTATTTCTACATCACACACTTATTAATACATAAGTTTTTTTAATTTTAATTATTATCAAACCAAAGAGTTTTTATACACTACATACTACCTACATTTGAATATTAGAGAAATCATTTTTGTTTACAAATATATCGAAGAAATCTTACATTGCGACACGCGATGTCGTAGATACTTTATGTGTACACTTAGATGCTTTAATTTTTATTTTAAGTTTCTATCTACTGAGTTTGAGCTATATCGTCAAGAATTCGAGAAGCAACGAGATATGTCCATTCATTATAACATTAGAAAAAAGAGGATCTCAGAAGCAGCAGTGCAGAACATTTTATTTACAAAATAAATATTTATAATAGTTTTGTTGAAATTTTGAACTCGGGGTTGAGATGAGACTAGCATTTTCTAAATTCATCTTTTATTGAGAGACAACATGGAAATAAAACTATCTATCTGTTGTTTGGATTGATTCTAAATGTAAATGTATATAATGAGAATATAATTTAGTTATATCTATGCCCAGAAAATAAAGGTAAACAACATTAATTTTTTATTAA